GAGATGATCAATCAGAAGGTTTTTCAACATTAAAACTACCTTTTCCGATGGATTTTTGAGGGGTATCCCTAGTTCTACATTATAAGGTAGCATCCTTATATAAACATTTTCTTCAGTAAAATGGTCATATCTTTCAATGGTGCTGCAGATTGGACCGCTGGAAAGTTTATTCAATTTCCTACAAAATGGCGTAGCTTTAATTGGGCTAATTTCCTACGATAATTTTTTGCTGAAATTTAAGGACTTAAGAGGACATTTCTATTGATCGTGTGGTCCCATAATATATGGGAAAGCCTTGATGGGTGTCTAGGGACTCTATATGTAGGGGTGTCAACGGGATCGGCCAGGTTGCGTTGGGGTCGACCTTGACTAATTTATGGTCTTGATACCCACCGTTAAACAATGTATTGTCTCATACACAGATATCTGCAATCCACATTCAACAATTCTCAAAACTCACAAAAAATATATCAATAAGAAATAATCATGCCCTGGCTCAAACCAATCATGAGGTGATCTCACTGACCCTATCCCAACCCCTTCTGGTATAACTTCCCTTAAACTGGTCTCATGATCCGGGTTTTGTGACTATATGGACACCAATAGCGGATCCCATTTTGCTTGGAACCTGGCGAGTCGCATGTTCTTTGTTGCTCCCATTGCAATCGAGAACCACAAAAAACCTTGGTGTGGAGGCCTTGAAAGGCCACAACCCGAACATGAGGTGGTAGCACCTTCCCTTGGGATACTTGCCGATAAAGAATGTAATGAAGAGTAGAAAAAAGAAGCTCGTCGGGCCGCCCTCAAAACTTTGGACAAGAGGCGTCTTCAGGTTTTGACCTCCATGAGAGTATATCATTAAAGACTTGAACGGGCGTACCAAAGTAAAGTAATCCCGTGACAGTTCCGAATACGAAACCTGGTACTTAAGAAACTTTTCCACTCATCTGTAAATCTGCACCCATTAGGCACGTTCAAAGCTAATTGGAAGGGTCTTACATAGTCACCTAGGTATATATAGGCAATCTGCATATAATATAAAATCAAGAGGGTCTGGAGTTAAACGATCTTCCTTAAGGCCATATATATATATATTAAAAAAAAGAAAGAGAAAAATGATAAAAGTGATTTAAAACCCAAAAAGGGCCCACCGGTAAAAATGTCAAAATAAAGTACAAGGTGAAAACCCGAAAAGGGCAATATGGGTAAGAAATGAAACGACGACACATTAAAAATACAGTGGGCAAAAAAGTTGTCGGAAGCGCTTCGGTAAAAACTCGCAAAGTACATTATGGACCGATGTCCTAAGTGAGAATCCAAAAGGATGCTTAGGGACCAATCAAAATAAAAGGTGATGTTCAAGGCACAGTCAATACTGTAGGTTTCGACTGAAGACCTCTTCCTCAACTCCCATGGGATCTCGACCAATTCTGACCTTTGCAAGGGCATGAAAGAGAAAGTGCTCAGTAATTGAAGAAGACTCCAAAGAAATACATGAGCATTGTCTAACGTTCTCCAAGAAGGGAACCTATTGGACCCAAAGTTGGGATGCAAAGGACTATAAAGTCTCAAAAAGACAGTTGCTCAGGTGCTTCCTAATCCTCAAGACCTCAGGTACGAGCTAACATGGCTTCATAACACTTTTAAAAAAAAATGGTCGATTCAGGTGCTTAGCCACCGGGAAAGCCCCAGGGCACACGCACAGGCTTGGGCAGCCCTCCCTAGGCATATCCGCCTAGGTTGCCTGGGCATGTACCAAGGTATTATTGCCTAGAATCTGCCCCCTTTTCTTGAAACAACCGTCATTTTTCAACGGTCGTTATTCTGAAAAAAATTGTCATTTTTCAATAAAGCAAAAAAATATCCTTTCAGATTATTTTGATTGTTATATTTTTATCTTTTTTCAAATATTTTGTAAAATTATTTTTTTTTTATTTTTTTTATTTCTTTGGCTAATGCCAATTCATACCAAGTGAAACAGAAAACAACCACTTCTAGGTGCTCCCCTCTTTTCCAATTTTTGAACCTGGCTTAAGAGATGCAACCTCCTAAGCTTGTCATAAATCATAAAACTAGTCAAGCACTTCATAGTTGCATAGGTCTAAACTGTTAACTACCACATGATGCAAAGGGGGAAGGGAAGGCTCACAAATGACAGATTAAATGATTGGGAAGGCTCACAAATGATGATAAATAATTAGTGTGGGAGTTCTTTCTCTCTCACCTAGATGGAGGTGGGGCAAGTGGAGTACTCCAATATGAAGGCTCAACCTTAACCTACTACGATCGCGAGAGAGATCCGCCATTTGAAGGTGGCATGAACCATCTACTTAAACCCATCAATAAGCATGGTATATGTGAACACATTAGGCTTGTGTTTTAGTAACCTCAATGCCTCATCTAAAATACCCAATGTGCAGACTCCACGAATTAGGTGGTTATAAGTGAATCTACAGATGGCTACCATCAAACCGTCGTGCCAGTTTTTCAATCTACAATAGTGAGCATTAATCCTTACCCAAAAAAATACTAGGATGATAAGAATTATTCTAGTTTAGCATGTACGCCAAGGGTTATCCATGCCAAATCTCAATTAAATTGATTCTTGCTACTCAATAATCAACGAGGGTGAGATAACCCTTTCCTTTTATCACCTTCTTAAACCTGGGCACAATACCACTCTTTTTGTTTCAGCAATTATTTCATGCTGAAGTTTCATATGATCACTTAGCCATGATATCATATGAAACGCAAACAGATCTTCAGGACCATTGCCATCCTGACTGACTGCCATCACATCAACCCGCTCTTAGAAATGAGGTAGGGCATAGTACTTCCTCTTTGATACCCCTTGATCGTCTTGAAACGGATTTTTTAGAAAGAACCCAAGATCCGATTAACTTTCATAAACTTGTGATTCTTAAACCACCAATCTGGCACGATCTATGACGTTCCAAGTCTTTATTTTGATCACAAATCGAAGGGGATACTATCAAGATCATTCTACAATAAATTTTGTCCATTTTAATCTCCGTTTGGGCATATTCCAATTTTGGGAAGTCGTTGGAAAATACGATTCCGGAGACTAGAAAAGTATGCTATTTTTTACCTCAAAATTCGTATCATCCGGCCTTCGATCATACATAAAAAGTATTCCAAATTGTAGCTCTTTGAAGACCCATACTTGCAAGGATCTGACGTCGGGATATTGAGCTATGACCTCTCAAAGAATTTAATGTTCTTTTTTATAAAATCTGAATTTTCATGTTTCGAGCCCATCTTCTCTCTAGAAGTTCTTTCGTTACGGTCCACGCTATGACGTGTGCCATATGTCAACGATCGGGTCGTTGAGATTTAGCTTGTGTCCAAATTTGAGCTTAATTGAGTCAAAACGAGTGAGCGAGTAAGTTATGAGCATTTGAAAATCATAAAAAAAAAATGAAAAAACGAATTTTCCATAAATGGAAACTGGTTCACTGAGGCCGTACCGCAATAATGTAAAACCCTCCCCTTTATGGTAAGTTAGGCCCAAAATGGTCTCGAAAGGTTTGATTGAGCCGAAATTTAGTATATGGGGGTTTTTCGATATTTCGGATCCAATGGCGATGGTCTGATAATGTTTTGAGACCCAAAAAATAGGGCTATAGTTATAAGGTCCATTTTCAGCATGACATGAACTAGATTTGAGGACCAAGTTTCGTTCTGATCATATCCAAACTTATCAGAACGCGACGAAACTTTGTGAGTGTCCTTAGGGTATC